TTTTTTTTTTTTTTTTTTTTTTTTTTTTTTTTTTTTGAAACACCGTAAGTGGGTCAGTCATCCTCCTCATTATAGTCCTCATAAATCAATAGCATTTCGTCGGAATACATCTTGTCTTTTCACCTTAGTAGTCCTATGCATAGTCAGTAATATAACCCGAATCATGGCTACTAATAAAATAAGACTAGGAACCAAAAACCAGACAAAATAGTAGGTATAAAGTAATTTTACCAATGTTTCCAAATTAGTCCAACTTGGTACCTTTCTGGCATAAACCGTATATCTAAGAGAGGTCGTTTATGGGTACTATAGCAACAATGTCTGAATTCTCCATATTCACATCAGTAACCCTTCTCTCGACAGCAATTTCATTAAAAAGATGAAGACGCCTCCAAGTGTATGGCATCAACGGCTCACCAAAGATATATTTGTTATAAAATTTGTCACAGAAGTCAACATCATCAAAAACTTTGTTTGCATGACGGAGATATAATCCTTCTTGAAACAAAGGGCAAATCATTACCGTGGTCGGAGGTAGTTATTCTCTAACCAAAAATATCTCATGAAGCTCTTCGTAACCCAACCAATATTTAAGGGAGAGTTGTAAGATTTCGGTGACATCTAAAATTGAATTTGACAAGTTAGTATAAAGATAGAACCTATATCGTTCTCAACAAGTATATGGCATCATGGGTTCGCCAAATATGTATTTACTAAGAAATTGGTTCCAATACTCGACGTTGTCCAAAACATTGTTTGAAAAACCCAAGATACAAGCCGTCTTCATCAAAACGATGAACTGGTTCGGTGGTGACTGGTGAGAGACAAATCTTCCTGATCACATGTTCAACCATGTAATTAAGAATTTCTATATGACTTATGCCAGAACCATCAAAAGTGCTAGTTTTGTGCACCAAATGACAAGTTTTGTTTGTTTATAAGGGTGGCTACAATCCAATTATAAAGTAATAGTTCTAGTTCTAAATATTGATCAAATGAATCCTTAAAAATAACACAATTTTGTAAGAAACATTTGTTCCTATAGGTCATTATCATTCTTTACAAGGAATTACGAAACAGTAACATTTTTCTTAAAAAATAATAACAAAGAAAATTTATTATTTTTTCTTGTTATTTTGTTTCTATTTTTTCTCTTTTTTATAGTGGTTCATAATTACACCAAATATGGTTGGTTTTCTCAACCGTAAAGCAATCCTCAACAGCAAGACGACTCGGCGTATACCGTATCCTCATCAGTGGCCCACCTAACATATATTTGTTATGGATCTCGTCCCAAAACCCAACATCATCAAAAATATCATGTGCAAGCCGTAGATACAATCCACCTTCAGCCAATGGTTGAACTGGTAATGTGGTGAGAGGGAGTTCTTCTCTACGCCAAAATATAGGTTGAAGTTCTTCATAAGTAAGTCAGTCTACAATAGAGTATTATAAGATCTCAGTTACATCTGACAATTTATATACACCAACCAAGAAAATCGGTAAGAATATTCTTGCATACTAAACAATGAAACATTATACTATATAATATACTAAATCTAATAACATTATTTAGAAAATAGTTTTCACATCATCACTCTATTAACTACTCATACATGACAATGACAGCTTCTTAATGGTTGAAAAATTGCCACATAATCAATGTTATTTAGTCGTGAATTTATAGCCGTTGATAAAGTTGGATTTAACGGGTTTTGGGCAATTACTTTAAAGCTGATAGCCCAATTAAACATGCACGCTACAGAGTTATAAGATGTTCTTGTATGTGTTCTTGATCACGAGGTCGCCTAATGAGCCGTGCTGGAAAGTAACAATTTGTAAATGGTGATAGTCAATGTATGCGAAAAATAAATTGGGGTTGTGATCTCATAATGTGCCATTATTAATTTCTCCTAGAGTGGATCGAGTTTGTTTCACTCACATAATGATATACAGTAGAACCACTATAAATTAATACTCGATAAATTAATAATCTCTATAAATTAATAAATTTTACCAATCCCAATTTGGACCGATGTAAAATATGACACAAATCAATAAAAAAATAAGATAATAATATTTTAAAAATTGCCATGTAAATATATAGTCCCATTAAAATCATAAATTAATAATCTATCTATAAATAATTTTATATAACTATAATCTAACATTATATTGTTGGATTTATATTTATAGTAAAAAGTGGAACACTTTAACCAAAGATGATGACTTTATAAAGAAGCACCTCGGTAAAAATAATCAGAAGAGGAAGGTGGTGATGCTGCTTGATTATAAGGTTTATTTGATGAGCGTTGATTTCCTCATTCCACCATCAATAGAGCGTATAGGTAAGCTCGTTAGCCTAAACCACAAGGATCCTGCTGCTGATGGAGTTGACATATCTAAGATCGTTCATTGCGACGGTTTATTGTTATGCATCACCAAAGACATCCCAAACCATCGGGTTGTGGTTTGGAACCCTTATAGTGGGCAAACAAGGTGGATCGAACCCAGAGATTCTTACAACAAATTTGACAGGTACGCTCTCGGATACTCGGAGGAGAATAATTTCTCTCGTAGCCACAAAGTGTTGAGATTTGTGGATTTCTACGACCGGAGTTTAAAGCGCCATGTTCGTGAGTTTGAACTCTACAGTTTTAACTCTAACTCGTGGAAAGTTATTGATGTCAACCCTGACTGGAGTATAGGGTTTTATCAGCGTGGCGTGTCTCTAAAGGGAAACACTTACTGGTTTGCTGAAGAGAAGCCTGTCGGTGTAGCTCCAGGAACAGAGATATCAGATCTCCGTGATTTCTTACTCTGTTTTGATTTTACAAAAGAGAGGTTTGGGCCGCGTCTGCCTCTGCCTTTTCACTCCTTCGGAGACGTAGTGGCCCTCGCTAGTGTTAGAGAAGAGCAGCTTGCTGTGTTATTTCAGAAATTTGGTTTACCTCCATACACGGTCAAGATTTGGATCAGTAACAAGATCGAGCCCAATGCAGTGTCGTGGAACAAGCTGTTCCTAAGTGTTGATATGAAACCACTCACTGGTTTTCTGTTTCTTGACAATGGTGGGAGTTTCTTTGTTGACGAGGAGGAGGAAGTGGC